CTAAATTAAAACTTTTAAAATAAATATTAATTCAATCAAACTCTTATTAGTTAAGAATTAAAATAAAGGATAGTTTATGTGGTTGAAGAATGTCTTGCATGCCAAGGTCGAAAAACAGTTCTTTTGACCTTGGAATGTAAGACATTGTCAAGTTCAGGTGTTTACTAGTTTAAAGGCTCGGTATGTAGCAGTGGCAATTTCCCTTGATCCTCACGTGAATCCCTATTATAAGGGCAGGGCAAGGAGGAAAGTTCCTTCTCGTGGGGCAAGGACGAGAGGTATTTCCCTTAGTGAATTTATGTGAAGAATTTTTTTTACCTTACAAGGCCTCGCAATGATCCCCATCCCCCTGAGAAATTAAAAAAATATATAAATTAATTTTACTTTAAATTCAACCTCACCCAATACATTACAACACATGTCAAAACCAATTGAATAAAAATTAAATTTAACCCAATGTTACACAACCCAACCCAACCCAACCCATATCTAAATCTAACCCTAAACTTAATCATCACACACACTTAATTCATAGCCAAAGCTACTGCCTTGAGTGCTTGCCTATTGTCAACAACACAACACTCATTCAGCCATTCTTTCTCACTTATAGTTCTCGGTTTCTCACCTTCAGATTCAGACTCTCTTAGCTTTTTTCACCTTTACCTTTCTCCTACCCATTGCCCAGTAACCCTAAGTTCCTCCACGACTCCACTGCCACTTGCAGATTGTCGCTAGCCTACTGATTTGTTGGAGTTTCTACCGGACTACATACTGTTGCTGGATTGTTGCCAAACGACACTGTTGCTGTTGAATTTGCCTCTGGACTACATTTGGACTATTGCCATTGAAGCTATATGTCGATCTATTGGGGCTGTTGGTGCCGATCTATTAAGGTTGTTGTTGCCGATCTGTTGGGACTGTTGTTTCTGATTTACTGGGGTTGTTTTTTCCTATCTGTTGGGGTTGTTTTTGTGGATTTGCTAGGGCTGTTGTCGATTTGTTGGATTGCCCAAGTTTGCCAGAGTAAGCTACTTTATCCCTAAAACCACCATATTTCCTAACCTGTCCTGCATCACCATGAGCCTCATTGTTGCTTTTCATTCCAATTTTTCTTCATCCATATGAATGAATATTTATTTCCAGTGACTGATTGAGTTCATTATTTGACATGCTTTATGTTATATATGTTTCTATGCTTTCAATTTTTGAACTAGGTAGCAGAATTCGGATTTATAGGACCGATCTGATGAGGTTTTGCATGTCAATAGCAATACTAATTATGAATCATGGCATACGTTGTGAGAGTTAGATTTTTGCATCCTAGGTAGTGGTTAGGGGGATAGTTTAATGGTATTAAGTTAACTTAATGATATGTTTAAATTTTTCTATTTAACTGTTCCTCTAATATATATTCGCATATTGCTTGAAGTATGTATAAATAGTTTTTCTACGAATATGTTAACTTGAAGTATTTACTGATTGTATTGTTGGATTTTTTATGAGCAAATGTAGATTTTGAAAGCTTTTGAGTTTTGAGCTGCCTTCCCTTGCATGCTAGAACATGGATGTTGTACAAGGAACAAGTCTCACATTAGTTTACTTATTTATGTTGGATTGATCTTTGTTTATATTTGAACAATTTATATTTGATTTTACCACTCATCCATTGACCTTGCTGGTTACAACTAATTGTATTCTTGCAAAGGTGGAATCTAGATGTTGTATAAGGAACAAGTCCTATCTTGGTTTAGTTATTTATGTTGGATTGATTTTTGTTTATATTTAGATAATTTATATTTGATTTTATGTTTGAAAAACTTTAGTTAATTGTGCTTGTGCTTATACTTTTAGAAGTTTGTTTATTGTGATTATATATTAGTTGATTATATGTGAAAAAATTCACATTTTGGTATAAATTGACAAGGAATGAGGATCTTGGGCAGGGATCCCATCCCACATGAAGAACAAGGAGGGGGAGCAAAATTTGACCCTTCTCAAAAATTTCGACAAGAATCTCTATCCCCGTCATTCGTAAGGATAGAGATGGGGATGGGGAAGGACTCTCAAGTCTTGCAAAGCCTTATTGCCACCACTACTACTATGTAAGATTTTCCTTAAGGTTAAAACCCCATTTTTGTTTTTTTTCTTTTTCTTTAACCAAAAGTTTATTTTTAATCTTTTTACTTACGAAAATTCTTTTTGGTCATTAAAGTTTATTATCTCATCATTTTTTTAGTCTTTTTGTTATTTTTTTACATATATAACATGTTAGATAACAAAAATTTTCAAAATAAAAGAATTAAGAAAAGACTTTTTTAATCTCTTTACTTAAAAAAAATATTTCTTTTTAATCTTTTTATTTTAAAATTTTTATTATTTAACGTGCTATATATGTAAACAAATAGTG